GAAGAAAGTGGCTCAAAAGCAAACAAAATTAAAATAAATACATTCACATAATAAACTAGAAATGGATAAAAATATTGATCTATGTATTTCATATCATCCCATATGCAGATATTGTGTTTTGTGTTTCAGCCCTCACCCTCAGTGCGACATCTCTGCAGACACTCTCTCTCACTCTGAAAGTTGTTCTGGTTGCCCAAACACCCTCCATACTTAAAGATTGCACAGCTCAATGAGGAGGCGTTGTAGTAGTAACGCTGGTGCATCCCAAAACATGGTCCCGTATCTGGTTCTGATTGACAAGCCACTACAGAAGGGGGGTGAGTGGCATAAGAAAAAAGTAGTTCGAAGGTTACAACATCCGAATCAAGATATCTGATTTCTCATTCAGCACATGCTCATTTTCATGACTGTGATACACTGTACATTTATCATTAATTATCATACCGGTTCCATTGAAAAGAGGTAAATCATCAGCAGAACCCTCCTCCTCTGCAGCAACCATAACAGGGATCAAAGTTCTCCTCACCCGCTACATCACACAGAGTCAGTCAGGGATACAAAGTCACACATTCTCCTTAATATTGTCATTTTAAACAATTCCATAACTCCCTGTTCCAGTGTTATATTGAAGCTATATTGCTACTAATATACACAATATTATATAATAATATTCTGTTGTTGCAGCATTACATTAAGTAGAAGTAGTAGTAGTATTACAAGTAGAATTCTATATGCCCATATTAATGGAACAATACTAAAATGCATTGTCCACATTCATTTAAACTTTTCACAATACTTTTTATGACATGCACTTTTACTTCAGTGTATGCTGTACATTCTGTTACTAATACTTCTTTTGTTTAGTTTGTCTTGTTGATTTTATACCTTTAAAAGAAAATGTAATTTCTCATGGTCATCTGAACAGGGCACGTTACCGTAACATGAAATCCATTTTCAATTTCTCCAGTTTTCAATCAGAATTATTATGACCAGCATTAAATGTACTTTTGAGTAATATATTGCTTTTGAGGGGGATTTGTATTTGACTGTACTCAACAAGGAGAATAAAACTTCACTAGAACTTCAACCAATTATTAAAAATACAGATGATGCATAATAAAACAATATAAATCAGATGATGTATTTTTAGTACCCGAGGCTCAGGCTGAGGCTGAGCTGATGGTTCTGCCACTACCTCTCCAGGAACACAGTCACCTGCACAGAAATTCAATGAAAACATTTAGACTCTTTTAACATCTTCAATTTTTCTTAATGTGTCATTCTTGTGTTCATGTTTTTATGCTGCAAGAAAAAATTAAAGTGTTTCATCTGTCTCCTCTCTCCATTACCTTTGTCCTGCTTAATGATAATAGTGTCGTCGCTCATTCCCTCTTGTCTGACCAGTGTTTTGAAGTCCTCCAGCACAGTGGGTCTTACAGCCATAGTCCGACCTGAACGGGACAGAGTCATTTATTTGAAACTGACGCACAGTAAACTCAAATTTTAGTACAGTGTAAGTTTTTTATTCATTTGGTCTATCTTACGATGAATTAGGGTAAATCCTAAGACTTGAATAAAGTAAATAAAAACTAATTATACAGGCAACAGAAATAAAAAATATACTTGTTTGATTTTGTTTTGTGTTTTATTCAGCAGTATTTTGGTTGAAATGCTGCTGAAACACCTACAAAGAAATCATCAGTTAAGACTGCTTTTCAAAATAAAACAATAGGAAAAAAAATCCATGGAGAGTGTGCACTTACTATAAAGCTTCAATGAGATGCTCTTCTCCCTTGATGATTTCTGTTTGCTCATTATCACTATTGCGTACTCATTGTAGTTTGTGTGAACCACGTAGGCATCCACGTCTGACCCATACCCTGCAGGAAGGACAGCACAGGGACAGTGAGGGAGTCACAGATAGACAGAGACTGCAGAGACAGAGACAGAGACAGAGCTGCAAGGTTATAGAGAGGGAGACTGACAGAGATACATACTCTCAATATGGTAGAAGAATCGTCCTGGTGTGGTGGTTAACTCGTAATCCCCAGAGATCTCCTTGCATGTCCCATGTCTACACACACACACACACACACACACACACACACACACACACACACACACACACACACACACACACACACACTTCCTCTTTTACGTCATCATCCATCCAACTAAATCTGACTAAATGTACAAAATATACCAGATGAGATCAACCTCAGATTTTAGACTCTTTATTTTGACTGTTGCACTGAGATGTTGATGTAATCTCGACAAACCACTGACAGCCTCAGTCTGTGCATCATTTATATAATACGTAGATACATTTGTTATTTACATTTTTTCCCCTCTAATTTCTGTCAATTTTGCATTAGCTAATTCCCAAAAACATTTTATATAGCAATAATTGCATGTATGTATTTTTTCTTTCATTTTTTTTCTTTTTTCTTTTTTTCTTTTTTTTTACAGATTTGTATTATTTTAATGTGTCTAATGAGCAACTGCAACTTTCAAAAAATGTTTTCCATCTGTGTGCCTCTGTGTGTTTCTGTCATACATATGCTTTTACAAACCTGAGTACAGTTCGTTTCATCTTGAGTTTGTCTTCGCTGGTGCCTCTTTGCAGAACCAGCTTACCAATGGCTGCATCTCCCCGGTGACGCTGCATATAGGGACATGTACTTGCAATGGCAACATCATGCCAAGTTCCCAAAAACTGTTAGGAAGAGAAGCCATAATATACTGGATAATATATACTGTACATAACACACATAAAACCTAAACCTGAATTTGGTACAGTACTGCTGGTTCAGTATATATATATAGACAAAATACATAAAAATTGTTGCTAAAAAATGAAGATGTTGTTTAAGGCATTTCTTTTGCAATGCTGAGACCAGTAATGCACACGGCTCACTACAGCCTTCCCAATGGAAACCATGTTGAATTTGTTGAAATTTAATTTAATACTTAAGAGAGGCACTGCTTTAAAGTTTTCAACCATTTAATGCATAAAAATTTGGTTTAATGTATTTTGAGGTCATTATGATATGAAGGTTTCCACTGCCTGTAGAATGTCAATCTAACAATAGAAAGAAAACGATAGAAAAGAGAATACAAAGGATGTACAGAAGTAAATTTCTACACCTCTGCGTTTAATCTTAATATACTAAATCTATAAATTTAAAGTGACAGATTATTACGCAAATATAGGAGGAAAAATAAAACATAAGATTGCAGGACTCAACCACTCACCTGAGCCAAGTCAAAGTTCTCCTGTGTGGCATAGAGAGGTTCTGGGAGAACAAGGAGCCCCTCAAGGGTCCAGGTCCATCCCAGGACCAGCAGGGGAACCAGAATCACTTTCTGCATCCTATCAGCCTGTCTGCTCACTCGTCTCTGAGAGGACTAAAGCCTAAGACACTGAAACCCAGGAAAGGGCTACCTGCTCTCACCTCTTCAAAGGGGGGACGGGGCATTGACCTGTTATATGTGTGCTGCGGCCCTTGCATGTACACACTCCCACAGCCGAGTAAATAACAAACAAGTAAGAGAGCAAAGTTCTACTTGTCTCTGTCTCGCTCTGTGTGACCTGACTTGTCTGGGCAGCTGACCATTTAAACATTGGACTTCAGGTTTAGCAACGTCAACAAATCAATACCTGTCTTAACCTGACATACAAATGAATAACAACTACCTGATATTTCATCCTGTACATGTGAAGTTTATATTGCAAATTTCCCTATGCTGGATGGGGCTTTTATCTTGTCAAATACAAGTATGTGGTTTAATCTGTGGCGCAGGGTCCATATCCCAACCCAATCCCGTTTCTACATTTTGGAACTACATTCTACATTTCAAACCAAATGCAATTTTCATGTCTATTGTGAATGTGACCTCCCACTCACACCAAAAAATGAATGCAGCTATTGTTATTGTAATTGCTTAACCTATGCTTTTCCTGCTATGACAAGTCAAAATATGTGGGCCGGGAAAAGTCTACAGCCTGCTGGGAAAAAGACAAAATAATAACAGTAATGTCACAGCAAGACAGAGCAAACATAAAAACAAATGTACCTTTGTTCTGATTCATGATGATAGCGCCATCACTCATTACAAGTTGTTCTACATTTTGGAACTACAGCTCCCATAATGCTTTGGGAGATGTAAACGAGAAGTACCAAGCTGCCATTGAGTCAGTGGGTTAAGCTGTGAGCTACAACTTGAGCCCTGTTTTATTTAACCCCAAACATTGTTCACATTTTTACAAACTGGCACCATTAAAAACATGCCAAATTAGATATCAGCAGTTCCTGCTTGTAATGTACCTGTGGATGTAAAGACAACTGTCACTGAATCACTGTAGAAAAACATGATGATTCCCAGGGAAGTTCTGGAGAAATGTCTTATTTCTAAGATCCCTAAGTGAGTTAGTGGGTTTGTGTATGTCTGTGGGTTCAATTATGACTGAGATATAAAATATGAGAACAGGACTTACAGGAAACTCTTATGTACAAGCATTTAAGAACATACATGCTTTTCTTCACCAACCTGGACTATTGCTTTTCATCCGATATTATTTGGTATAAGAATGTTAACTAACCAATGAATCTAAATAATAAATTGATTTTAGTATTCTACTTTAATTTATTACTTATATCTAGAAAGCAAGCAAGGCACTGAGAAACAACATAATGTTATGTCACAATAAACAGCAGAAAATACGAGCACTTCATTCAGCAGATAGACAGAAGCTTTATGGGGAGATGAAGTGAAATTACTACAGGTACCAGACAAGCAATAAATTACTAATTATGAAAAGAAACCTTAATGGTATGTCAGCCCCTTAGGACTCCATATTCCTGCCTTTCTCTCTATCTTTGATTATCTTTAACTTACTACACATGTTTGAAAATGAGGTGAGGCTCAGTCAAACGTTGCAGTACGAGGGTAGTATTGGCTTCATGTGCTGTAGCACTGAAAAGTCAAATGCACTCAAATAAACACTGAATCATTTTATTACAAATTAATTTAGATTAATACATTTCATATATATGAAAAATGCAATATCACAATGAAACAATGATATAGAAACATATTCATACAATTTGCACTGCATTTGTAGGAAACCAGTACCAGTGACAGTAACAGTTGTTTTTCCCATTGAAGATGTGACAACGTGATTGTCTTGTGAGTGTTTGTGTGATGACCCTCCTCTTCAGTTTGTCCACATGACCTCTCACCTTGTGCAGTCTTACAGTAAACATACATTTATTAATATATATTAACTTCTCCTTATCCTCACCTTGAATACATAGACGGGGACAAAAAGGACCCTGTAGTATTTTTAAGTATTAGTTTACAGGTGTACATTACTGCTCCCATGGGCTACCGTATGTGACCCGTGGGAGACTGAGTGAGCGTACAATTCTGAAGAAAATTTGATACAAACAGTAAACACTAGAGTTTATAGTGACGTGACCATTAAATAACGAATCATTTGTCCATGTGGTTAAAAATTGCCAGAGTTCACAGCTGGCACCACCTTTCTCTTCAACCTCTTGGCAACAGAAATCTGAAGGATAGATTCACAAGACACAGCTGGTGAATGCTCATTCTCATTACAGACACAGATCTGTGGCTTCAGTATGCATCATGTCATGTCTGGTGTGTACCTGAGGCTGAGTAGTTGGCTCTGTCTCCGGATCACCTGGAACACACTCGCCTGGGAAGATGGGAAGAGATGGGAGAGGGTGTTTATGTTTTTCATGAAGACAACATTGGTCCCTTTGTGTCAAAGAAAAGCCACAGAAAATGTAATTTGCATTTCAAACCGAATGCAATTTTCATGTCTATTGTGAATGTGACCTCCCAATCACACCAAAAATTAATTCAGCTATTGTTATTGTAATTGCTTCACCTATGCTTTTCCTGCTATGACAAGTCAAAATATGTGGGCCGGGAAAAGTCTACAGCCTGCTGGGAAAAAAGACAAAATAGTAACAGTAATGTCACAGCAAGACAGAGCAAACATAAAAACAAATGTACCTTTGTTCTGATTCATGATGATAGCGCCATCAGTCATTCCAAGTTGTCTCACCAATGTTTTGTAGTTGTCCATCACCGCAGGAGTCACATCCATTGTTCGACCTGAAGAAGGCAGAATTTCTATCACACACACTGATCTGTACATCCAATGAAAAACGTGAAACACATTTCAAAAGCACAACTACAACAAATTGTCATTTTGATAGATTCAAGAATGGTCACGCACTATAAAGCTTGGCTGTGGTGGTTTCGTTTCCTGATGGTTTCTCAGTGCTCAGCAGAAGCATCATTGCATACTCATCATAATTGGAATGAACCACGTAGGTATGAACATCTGCTCCAAACCCTGTGGAAAGGAAAGTGTTGCCAATATGCTGCGTGGCAGATCTGTGAACAACATATTAGTGGCTGATGTACCAAGTCTGTGGCATTTTAGTTTAACATTGAAAAAAAATCCTTGTTAATGTGGTGTGAAATGTGTGGACAGAATGCACAATTAGATTTACAACAAACAAACAAAAAGGACGGAGAGATGAAAGAAGCTGAGAAACATACTGGCAATATGGTGGAAGAATCGTCCTGGAGTGTTGGTCAAAGCATAATCTGTGAACGTCTGCTTACATGAGTCATTCCTACACACACACATGCACAGGTTACACTGAGTTTAACACGTTTCAGATTGTGTGTGCGCTGGTGTGGATGTGAGTCTGACCTGAAACTAGTGGCCGTCATGGTGAAGTTGCTCTCAGAAGCAACATGTTGTAGCTCCAGTGCAACAATGACGGGGTTTCCCCTCTTGCGCTTCATGTAGTGAGGACAGGTAGAAACCACTGCCAGCTCGTACCACTGCCCCATGAACTGCAAGGTGAATGCAAATATTCACTGCACATTAGAAAGAAATACAATATTATAGAAACCATTAGCATATGGAAGGGTATGCGCCCATGACAGCATTCTGTTAAGGACAGTGCTATTGTTTACAGTTTATACTTGTACTCTAATGTGCAACTGGAACAAAATCTGATAATTTCAAAAAACTTTCAAACATTTCAAAAAGATCATTTTCAGTTGAATTGGAGGAGACAAAAAGGATTACCCAGTCAGAAGACAAGATTGGATACTATCATTTTGACTAGTTTAATAACTACATTTTGACTAATAAAAAACAGAGAGAGAAAAGTGGCAGCTGGTAAGTTAGGAAAGAATTACTGACCACATGACTAAAAGAAGGAGGAAGGAAGAGAAAGAAAGATGACACCAGACATTTTAAGAAGAGTGTTTTTTGTCTCACAAATAAATGAAATTAAAAAAAACTTGTGTGTGAGCCACTCACCTGGCTCAGATTAAAGTTCTCCTGTGTGAGGGTAAGAGATTCTGGGAGCACATGGGCCCCCTGGAGGGTCCAGGCTGATCCCAGGACCAGCACAGAAACCAGAATCACTGCTCTCTGCATCCTGCTGTGTCTCTCACCAACCAGTCCCTCCTGCACTGCTCCTGCTGCTGCTGCACTGCGTCAAACTGCCACAGTGAGAATGTGAGTTTTTCAAAATTCTCTACAACACTGCAAAAAAAAGAAAAAAGAAAAAAAAGTCCTGATGATATCTTTATCTGCTTTTGTGTGTCTTGGCGTGTGCACTAAAGTGTGTCCATGTGATTGTGTGTTTGTTGGTTCAACTAATCAGCAATGAATGACTGGACTTCAGAATCTGTAGCTAAAACAAACAACCAATCAATACATGGCAGAATTTAGCAACTGATAAATAGTAGGGAAAAGGCTGCACTGCCACAGTGAGGCTGTACAGTCAAAGATTTCTTTTAGAAAAGTTTGTTCTCTGACATGAGGTGTGAAGAGGGTGGGGGGTGGTTAAAAAGTATTTTCTGTCAGGCCAGTGTTGTTGTCTTATAGGCTTTATGATATATGGTTGCACAGCCAGCTTGAGCATAAGCCAGCACTATGTAATGTGTTAATACAGCTATGAGGTCTTGTTCACAGCAGAAACATACTGATGAGGGGTGAACTCTGCCCCCTGGTGTTCCTATTAGAGTACAGGCCTGATTTACACAAGACACAACTCAGCACTACCTCCTGCAGTATACAGCAGATGGAGGGTTCTCAGTACAAACTGAGTTACACACACACACACACACACACACACACACACACACACACACACACACACACACACACACACACACACACACACACACA